GCCGGACACCTGCAGGGAGGGGACACAGGGGCCATTTGGGCTTCCAGGGGGCTGCTGGGGCTTACACGGGGCCATTTGGGCTTGCATAGACCACCTGGGCTTGCATGGGTCAACAACTTGGGCTTGCTTATGGCCACCCAGGCTTGCATGGGCCACCCGGGCTTGCATGGGTTGTGTGGGCTTGCATGGGGCCACCTGACCTTGCATGGGCCACCTGGGCTTGCATGGGGCAACAACTTGGGCCTGCACAGGGCCACCCAGGCTTGCATGGGCCACCCGGGCTTGCATGGGTTGTGTGGGCTTGCATGGGGCCACCTGACCTTGCATGGGCCACCTGGGCTTGCATGGGGCAACAACTTGGGCCTGCACAGGGCCACCCAGGCTTGCATGGGCCACCCGGGCTTGCATGGGTTGTGTGGGCTTGCATGGGGCCACCTGACCTTGCATGGGCCACCTGGGCTTGCATGGGGCAACAACTTGGGCCTGCACAGGGCCACCCGGGCTTGCATGGCATTACCCAGACTTGCACAGGCCACCTGGGCTTGCACAGACCATCTGCCCTTGCATGGGCTATTCAGGCTTGCACGGGACCACCAGAGCTTGCATGGGCCACCTGGGCTTGCATGGGTTATGTGGGCTTGCATGGGCCACCTGACCTTGCATGGGGCCACCTGACCTTCCATGGGCCATCACAGCTTGCACAAGGCCACCAGGGCTTGCGCGGGGCCATGGGTCAGTGCCAATCACCCCTTGGGGACATCCCCCTCTCTGTTCCCTACCTGGTGCTTGGCTGGGAGGGACCCCCCGCGCTTGTACCAGGTGACGGTGGCCTGCGCAGGGCTGGCGATGACGCAGTTGAGGTCCAGAGTCTGGCCCTCAGCCACGGCGGAGGACGGGGACTCGATGCGCAGGGGGGTTGTGCTGCCTGGGGCTGGGGACCAAGACAAGAAGGTGACACCAGCGACCACGGCAGAGCCCCGCTGGCACAGGCACGCGGCTCAGTGCCATGGCACATGGGGATCCCCCGCTGGCGCTGTCACCCCCCGGTCCCCACTCACTGTAGGTGCTGGCCCCGCTGGGCTGGATTGTCACCATGACAGCGGTTTCTTTGGTGGTGGCCCCGCTGGTCACCCGGCACACGTACTCGCCTGAGTCAGCCGCTGTCACCTGCAGCAGCCGCAGCCGGGAGCCAGACACCTGCAAGGAAGGGACATGGGGGTCACTGGGGCCATTTGGGCTTCCAGGGGGCTGCCAGGGCTTACACGGGGCCATTTCAGCTTGTATGGGGCCACTGGGCTTGCACAGGACCACTCAATGTTGCACAAGTGCCCTCTGGGCTTGCATAGAGCCACTTGGGCTTGCAAAAGTGCCAGCTGGGTTTGCATGGGCCACCTGGGCTTGCACAGGGCCACCCAGGCTTGCACAGGGCCACCCAAGATTACACAGGGCCACCCAGGCTTACATGGGGCCACCCAGGCTTACACGGGGCCACCCAAGATTGCACGGGGCCACCCAGGCTTGCACGGGGCCATGGGTCAACCCTAACCACCCCCCGGGGACATCCCCCTCTGGTGTCCCCTACCTGGTGCTTGGCTGGCAGGGCCCCCCCGCGCTTGTACCAGGTGACGGTGGCCTGTCCCTGCCCGGCCACCACACAGTTGAGTTCCAGGCTCTGCCCCTCTGCCACGGTGGACGAGGATGCCTCGATCCTGACGGGGACACCTGAAGCCGGTGGCCCTGGAGTGGAAGACAGAGCCGTCACCACCCGTCTGGGACCAGCACATCCCCCCTGGTGCCACCAAGCCCAGTCTCACCATAGGATGAGCCAGATCTGGGCACAACGGTGACGATGACAGATGCCTCCCGGACGGTGGTCCCCAAGCTCGCCCGGCACACATACTCCCCTGAATCAGCAGCCGTGATGTGGGGGACACGGAGCCGGGACCCTGAAACCTGGGGTTGGGGACATGCATCGGTGTCACATAGCAGGGGACAGGGCAGGATTTGGGGTGCTGCTCGCGCTGCTGGCACTGCCCGTGCCCAGCC